CAATATACATATATAATATTATGCTGTTGCACAATAATATTGTATACTAACTATGTTATATTATATTGGTGCGTATTCAAAATATTGAAGAAAATATTATCATTATTATGCCTCGTCAATATGATTATACCTTAATACCTATAATATTGAGGTACCTAATTCCAAATTAGTAAAAATCCACAACCCCTATTAGGTATTCAATATTTTAATAGCTATTATAACTATATTATATAGTAAATACCTACCCACCTAGTGTCCAATTATGTGACCTAGAACATTTTACTACTAAGGACTTGGATTTGTTGTAAATTTTAATGAAATCATACTACCACACTCTGTCCAGTGAGAGAACACGTCAAGGCCCGACGAAAATCGGTTCTTCTGCGCATCCCCACGCGTCACTCTTCCATAGTGGAACTGAATTCGTTGCGGCAGGGTGTTAAGTGGTAATGCGCAGAATCGACGTCTTCTTTTGCTGGACTGAGTACAAGTAGGTACGTCATAAATCTAAACAGGGTGTTCCATAAAGAATGTTGTGGTTTCAAAAAATCATTATTCCTCGGGTTTTGGTCGTAGCTCCATCCATCTGTAGTTATTAAATTAACCAGTTGAATCCCTGGTTTTTTCACCTCTGCTTGAAGAACTGAGAGAAATAATCTAAAGGACCGTCAGTTTAGTTACCTATACCTCACATGTTAGCCAGGATTTGGAACGAGTTTGGTTATCGGTATGAATTATATAGAACATCTATGGGAAGAAAAAAATGTAAAAAACTTGATAACCTACTGTTTTGATTGATAACTGCTTAAAGTGTATTACTTTAATAAATATATCGTTTTGAAACCGGTACATTCTCTATGGAAAACCCTGCAGTATTGTTCATCGAGGTATTTTTCACTGAAGCTTATGCCAATCGAACTGTGTTTCACTGCTACCAGATTTGTTTTAGAAACGATATGCTCTTACGAAAAAGAAACTAGTTTTTTGTAATTAAGTATATATAGATATTATTAATATATTATACATGGCAGAAAATATATTAGAAATACTACAACACTAAAATATTATGCATCACAGTATACTATACACATTTATAATTACTTATGTGGGTGGCTTACGATAATAAACAGGTTCTAATTATTAACTATCTATATCTATTCATTAATTGCAAAATTTGATAAATGATAATATTTGAAAATTTATTAACGACGTTGTATATGTTACTTAGGTTCAATTCGAGTTTCTTTAATATTCTTACATAAATATCGTCTACGATAGTGTAACGAAATATTAGGGCACACACTTGATATTGAAACCTCATAATTACGTGCAAGAGATGAGGACCAACTTGAAAAAAGATAATTTTAAAAATTATAAATATTAGAATATTCCAAATGCGTATATTTTTGCTTATTAATATGATTTATATAAGTCGATTATAATATTACAAATTGTAAATATTAATAAAATTAGGTTTATAGAATTTATTGTTCCAGTCGTATGTACAAAAAAGTAACATTGGCCCATCAAAAAGTTATACTGTTGTAAATTATTACCACGCTATAATAAATATTGATATTAACTGTTGTCTTTTATTTATACATTTTACATTTCACATTTTATAGTTGTGTTTTTAATATGCTTTGATAAAATTCAATATTGTTTGAGATGATTTTTTAGGCGTTACGTTTTACTGTTCTAGTGTCAAGATAGTTATCTAGATTAAGAGTTAATTGTCGTTATTATATTGTGTTACGATATAACCCACTTGAAAATAAGTAGGTAATAACTAATTAGCCGCGTTTTGTAAAACAAAATGGTCTGATGATCACGAATGACTTATATTTTATAATTTATTGAGTAATAATATTGTATGGTTCATTGTTGTATTCAATGTAGAATGGATGGGTCTTTATTATTACACGGTAATAAGTTTTGATCAATAGGTATTTACATAGACTTTTATTTTGTATGCATATTATTTTAACAAGGTATTTGAATAATAATTTCCAATCATAATTGTTGCATAGTGATAATATTATATTAAGTATACTTCGAATTCCACCAAAATTATAAATTTTTAACTTGTCACTTAGGTATATATACATAATATCTATTATATAAAAAGAAACACTTAAGAATTAGTGCTTTCATCCATTATTTCGTAAATTGTGTTCTTATATGCAGCCATGCAGGATAATATAGGATAATCTATGAATTTACACTAACATAAATAATCCTTTTAAAAATAGTAGGCGCCTAAACGCAAGAAACTGGTTTACTAAAAGAAGTCATGAATAAATATTGGATGTCACGTATTTATTTTCGTTCTAACACAAATCTACTCCAGTCGAGTGTTTACATTATAGATACATACTACCTATATTATATAATAAAATTGGAAAAGCGATCGTGTAATCGACCTCAAGGATGATGCGTTTTTTGTTTTTGTACACATATATTGTTTTAGGAAATAAAATAAATATATAACAATAACGTAAGACCAGCGTTATATTAAAAATAATTAAAACACGAAAAAATATCAGCAGTAAGTTACTAAGTAGTAACGTCATAATATAGCTTTGTCATGTTAAAGTACCTGATTTTTATTTACTTTATTATTCAATTACGAGTTTTTTCACGAGGGTTGGCGAGGGTATTCAAATGAACAACTGAACTATATAAATTGACAATCGTGAAGCAGTCATATATTTTACCTGGCCAAAATTACCTCCATATAGTTATATTAATATAGGTATTATGTTAATTATATCTAATTGGCAATTGCAACGCTTTAAACGTAGGTACTTATAAGTACTTGTATACATGTATACATTAACAAAATATCGAAGTTGCAGGAACGGACAAATTGAATAATATGTTTCGCAAAGTGCAAAGACCAATAAAAATTATATTGTTTCGACGATCTACGAGATTCGTAGATAACATCGTACATAGACATGTAATATTGTGTATAGGTTCACGTCAGATCACAAACAATATTTCACGTTTTCACGTAACAGATTTTCCTATCAATTGACATAATCTACTAACGAGTTTAATGATTTCCATATGATTAGCCAATAAATTACATATTTGTCATTTGTTTATTGTGTCTGGTTATACAATTTCTCGTCTAGTAGCAAGTAACCTGTTGAATTATACCCACCTGATACATTCCATCCACAGTGTGGCTTTTCTAATGTTGACCACACATTGTATTGGTTATATTCATTGTTCTTTTTGGAAATACGTTTTCACGCACCGAGATATATGTAAAAGTACTTTTATATATAGTTGGATACCATAACTCGATATCATGTATATAGGTAAAAAAAAAATTTGTTTTGTAAAATTTTTTGGTATCGTGGTTTCTATTTTCTACATTTTTAGTTTCATTACCCAATGAAACAAGATACTTAAATAAAAATTTTAATGTAGAAACATCGAATATAGATTAAATAGTGTTTTTAAATTAATGATAATATCTTAATTTTAGATAAGATCGGAGAAATATGTGGACCACACTTTACTTATCTAAACGTAAAATCCTTTTTAGTAAAATGATGTTTGTTAAATTTATACACAAACATTTTTAAAATAATATTCTGCTTCTGATTAAGAAATTAAAATTATTCAAGTTCTTATAAAAAAGAAAAACCTTAAAAATCATAACTAAAAAAATTGTAACTATTTGTAAGATATTTTATTTTAATGTTGTGTTCTAATTTGAAATAATATTCAACTATATAACACTTTTTTAAAAGCGTAAACAAATTACGAAGGTATAAACATTATTATATGTAATACGGGTTGCTTATTTTGGTTAAAAAAGACTATCCAGTAGATACTACACAATAATATGATCGTTTTAAATAATAATAGCGTAATTAATCTGACTTAACAAACAACTAATCGATTACCAAAGTACGATAAAAATACAATTTTACTTCAATTAAAAAGAAATGGGTATTTTAATTTCGAAGATCCCTAAGCTATTTTACAAATCATAGAATTACATTACTGTTGTAGAAGTTAAATTATGAAATCATCAGGAAAAATAGCAATGTTAATTTCCATTAAACGTGTATTTACCATGCTAAGATTACGCTATTTCCATGTATTATGCACCTATGTATGTATGTATGTATAATGTAAATAGCTTCTACATATTATTATATTAGGTTAAAAAAGTTATGTAATTTTAAGAATTATGTATTTTTCTTTAATAACATAAATAATTATTTTCAGCTCTATAAGTATTAATTCACACACAGTCTGCTAAAACAATTGGTATCTAAGTATAATATGTGTTAGAAAATTCGTAAAAGTGAGAATAAAATATAACACACACACGATGTATACCCAAGTAATTATTTCATATTTCCACTTTACCGGATTCGATCTCAAATAATAATTGTTTAAGAATACGGACTGTGTAAAGAATAATACTGATGTTTTATTCTATTATCAATATAAATAAAAATATAATTAAAAATTCAACAGTAACAATTTGGAATTTAATTTTTATAATTCAATTCATAACAACAATAATTAATAATTATTATTTTGATGATATCAAGTCTCACAGCTTTGGAGGTAAAATTCATTTTTTAAATACTGCAATACCAATTTTAGTAAAAATACTGTTATTCATATTCAACTCTTCCCTTTATACTTAAAAAATATTCAACTAGAAATATTTTTAACAAAAGCTTAAGTAGTTAAAATGAATACATTTATATAATAAAGTATACTTAATTCATTTTAATTATATCATTTATAGTAATTAACAGTAACTGATGTAAATAAATGTTATTAGAGTTAAAATATGAAAACAAAAATGTTATACTAGGACACGAGTAGCACTTAAAACCATGGCTATGATGGGATTAAAAATTGTAATTAAATTTAAAAAATTAAAATTAATTCTATTATTGTAAGACAATTACGTGTTTATACATAAAAATATGAATTATACATAGTTGTGTTCTACTAACCTGTAGTATCATGGTGATGTTGTTGGTAGACGTTCTGGATGGCGACTAAGCCAGTCTCAAAAACAATATCACGACGACGATGAGCAGATCGTAACGGTAACCGGTCCCCTCGTGGAGAACTATCAGAGTCTCCGGGGGGCGAAAATTTCACTTTTTAAGGTCACGGCGATTGATGATCTCAACATGAACAATGTGAATAATAATAATAAATCCCTCGTGAAATGATATATGATTAGATAGTATAGTATAAATGTATAATGCTTCCGGTTATTTTTATTAACGAGTCAAACATTTAGGAGTAGGCAGGTATATTATTGTATACCTAGGCTAGACAGGCCAGTAATAAACGCGAATAGTTCTTGAAGTGCGCTTAGTAGAATATGGATAACGTATTTATTATATAAAAAAAAAAACTATAATAATAATAATACAAATTACGGAATGATTTATAATATTTGTCGATCTTTTCATATAGGTAGTAGTGGACAGTGGTAGTGCCTATATCAAATAATAAATTTAAACTTACACGTAAGTTTTTCCCTTGTCCACTTTATACCCATATATGTTTATATTTTTAATATTTTAAGCCAACAGTGTATAGGAAGTACATATAGTCTGCAGTGTAATTAAATCATTTCGAAAAATTATTACACGTGTTTTCTGAAAAATTATAACTTATCGGAATCAATATTTAATCAAAATTGAAAATATTATACTAAAAAATAAAGACTAATAATTAGGTATGCATTTCTTTTTTATTAAGCATTGACGAATATCAATTATTGTATTAGTTAACAAAAATAAAATCAATAAATAAACAACAAATTATTAACAAATCATGTACGCTAATAAACTCTGATATAAACTATTTTTGTAATATTGTAACAAAATATATTGTAAGAAAACGTCATATAATTATACATTATAATTCAATATTTATTATTTGATATTCATTATGCTAAAAATAAAAATACATTAGTAGGTATGTTTTAAAATATTAATCGAAAAATAATTCATTTTACACATATACAAATGTAATATGTTATTAGGCAGGTATACTGTATAAAGACAATAGAGGTATTTTTATATTTTGAAATCGGAAATCGACGAAAGGAATAGTTTTTATTTAATCAAACGAAATCTTGCAAAAAATTACATTTCATTTTTCAAATTAAACAAACAGTTGAGTACAATTATATTAAATGAAGTATTTTCGTGATGTCATTAGTGTCTATAAGAATTATTATTTTTTAGTTTCTAGTGATTTAGTTTACACGAGCGAACAAATTATATTAAATAGATTATGGATATACGAGTATATGCAATTAGTTATGAGTTATGACATCGACAGTTTTGTTTGTAAGTAAAAAAAAACTTGGTACATAATGTATAACTATAACATATAATTTTTTTTTAATAAAACAATTAAATCTAAAGAAAATTGCCGTTTTCGATGAGTAGGTAACAAAAGAGAAATCCGAAAAAAAATATTAGGTACTTGCTTATGTCTATAATTATATCGTATTCAGAATTTTTAAAGTGAAAAGTCGTTAAAGTACGTTTAAAAAACATATCGCACATTAATTTTAATCGATGTTTAAATGGATAAGCAGGTTTTTGACATCATTATTATTGTATTATCTGCTGGAGCTAAGCTCAAAAGTTATATTAAAAAAAAATTAATGTTATCTAATTTTTTTTTTTTTTGGAAAACGTTTTTCTTGAGCAGGCTAAATTATTGTACACGTGTCCTATGCCCCATGGGCTCCCCTCATTAAATTATAAATTAAACCCATACTATTTTGTATATTAAAAACATTGTTTTTTTAAATTTTCCAACTATATAAGTAACAAACACAATTTAAAAGCAACAAAAAATCAATTCAGAGAAATGTGAACGTAATCATTTTTAAAAATATTTTTAAGGGTAATTTGGATTAACAGTCTTCATATTTTAAATAATAGATAATAGAGCCTGCTTATGTTGGATATCGTTCATCTAGCTTCACTTACCTTGAACCACCCAACGTTGTGTTATAATATGTTTGTAATAGTTGAAATACAAACCTATATAATTATAACTACAATACATGATTCAATTAAAATGTTGAAAAATTATAGACACAAATCTATACTTAAAAAACAATTTAAAATGATTGATCAAAACATCAAAAATCGTGTAATTTTACTGATAAATTCATATTGTATAAAAAAAAGGATTAGGGCAGATGGTCAAAAACATTTCGTCAGACATAGGTAATTTTCAATGTTTTTGAAATCTTTGAGTTATTAGTTTAATCTTCAATCTTATAGGCACTATGAAAGTCTTTTAGGGTCATTCAAATTAAGATTATAATCATAGTTTAAAATTATTCGTGTTTAATTTCCAATCCAAGGGCAATTTATTATAGTGTGTAATTTTTTTAAATACTATTAACTATTATCAAACTCAAAAAAGTAGGTCCATAAAATATAGAAAATATAAAAAAAAAAATTTAAGAACTCTCATCATATAGTAGAACTAATACATCAGATGCATCTAATGCTCAAATTCTAAGTATATCTATCATTTTGTTCTCAACGTGAAATTAAAAATTGTATGAATGATAATTAGGTATCTAAGTATAATTTTATAAAGACGAACAAAATTTAAAATTGGGCCATGTGCAACAAAGATTTTTATAAATGAGGAAATTGAATTTCATAACATTATTCTATGAACTAAATTATAACCCATAAGTTAACTCATTACATCAAATGTTAGCTGTACCGCTATTCCCGTTGTGGATAATTACTATATAGCTCAATATTATAAACGAGCCAAAGAGATAAACTGTAAAAAAATGATTTATTTTTCTGGTGATTTTTTGCAATCGCCACAATTTTTTCTCTCTTCTTTTTCTTTTAACCTATTGATTATAGGCAGCTGATAGAGCATATACTCAAGATTTTCTTTTTGCCTCGTTGTTCCTTTTGGTGCTCCACCACCAGGTCTACCCCAGAATTCATTCCAATTTGCATGGTGCTTTTGTCCTTCTTGTATATCTTCTTCGCGCTCGTGCTAAAATTATAAAATTAAATAAAAGTCAAAAAGTTTAATCAAAAACAGATTTCGTAATAGATTTTTTAGTTCATTGTAATGAACAATTATTTTTTTTTCACTTTGAATAACTTTAAAAAGTAATTATTCATCTTCTTAAGTTTTTCTACATATAAAGTTTCGGTATATATTATGTGCTCAGTGTTCAATCGTATATAAGAATATAATATAATACTGCAGGGTTATTCAAAATGATTCATCCGATTTAAAATGGCTATATAAAGATCTGACGCCATGTGATTATGTCTTTTGGGGATATGTTAAAGGCACTGTGTACATACCACCACTGCCATCAAATCTAGTTGAATTGAAAAATCGAATAACAACTGCCATGTAGTTTATGCTGCAAAAAGTATGGTATGAATGTGACAACCGACTAGATGTTATTCGTGTAACCAAAGGAGCTCACATCGAACATTTATAGATACAGTTAATTAAACTTGACATATTTTTCTTTTATTTAATGTATAACATATTGTTCTAAACCTAAAAAATAAAATAATATAAGCACTTCAAATCGGATGAATCATTTTGAATAACCCTGTATAATATCATGTATAATATAATTACATGTAGGTACTATGCCACTCTTACTTGTTTGCGTTTTTCTCGCCCACTGATTTGTCTTTCGAGAAACTTGTGATATTCTTTTTCATCTATCAAGAAACTAGAAACAAATGGTATAACTTTATAAATAATTTTAGTATAACATTTAATCATTACAAATAATGTAATTGAAATGTTTTGCATTACCTATTATTATTATTATTTCATTATTAACAATAACTTATATAGTTAAAAAACTTAAAAATATATAATAATCAGTAGTAGTTATTTATGATAAGTATTTTTATATAAAATTATAACTTGCTTTGATTTAGGATCATAAATTTTCGTTACGTCGCTAGTGTGCAATGGCCATTTACTGTCATGTCTTCTTCTCGAAGCGAGTAACGTAGCTAACTCTACGCCACCCGTAATCGCTTCCTACAAAACATGTAAATTAAGCATGTTTAATACCTCAAAAGCTTATGATAAACGATAATCTATTGTATAAAAATTAAATTAAAAAAATTTAATTGTGCTGCCTACTTATACTCCATCAGATATCATATTATCTGAATTTAATAGTTATAACATTAAAATATTAATAACATAATATTATGCATTTTCTAATGATAATTTGTTTGACATTATACACCTGAGGCAACGACGTAAAACTATATAATTATCGTAAGATATGGCAATACTAAATTGTTTTAATAATAATATGTTTTTTTTTATTACAATATCTTCAGTGCTTTCTTTATTGTCGTTTGAATGCGATCCCAATTTTAATATCCTTCCATCCACGTATCCCTAAAAATAAAATATAATGGTTTTACCATTTCAAAAAATTATTATGAGCTATGCGTAAGCAATATACGCTATAATGTTAAATTACCATGCAAATATTATTATAGTTAAGATATTAATTGTGTTCAACCAAGTTCAAAACGTATTATAATATTATTATATTCAAGCCATGAAGCTTAAGCTTATATATAATTAAAATGTTTGATAATAATAAAAACACAAACAATATAATTTGTAAATAGTATTATAGCAAAAAGCTCGAAAAATTGACAAAGCAACGATAGAATATATCGTTTGTAGGTAAATTTATAATGTTAATCAATGTTCAGAAATAATTGTTACCAACGATCGAAAGAAGTTTTTTCCAATACTTTTTGGATCTCTCCAAATAACACCCCCTGGGCATGGAGTACCCCAGGGATCTGCGATCGAATTCTAATAATCATTTTACAACTAACCCAATCAATATAAACATTTACAAGTTTTATGAAATATTTAGATGTACAGTACGATAAAACTTACCAATTTCTGATCTTGGATCATTTCTTTTCTGCGGTTCTCTTCTACTATTTCTTGTTTTTCCCTGACCATTTCATCTGAAAAATTTACAGTGATTCATTTGTATACTAACCATATTATTACGAATTACATGTATGGAGTTGGCGATAGATCCATTAGACTATAGTTTCATGCCCCATAAACCGAATTCAAAAATATCAATAGGATATTGATTAATATATGGGTAATTGAATTATACAGTGTACTCTGTTTTTGCAGACACACGTTATATATGTCTTACTATATATTATTCTTAATCTATACATGTACCTAATTAGTATTCGATATTACATATTCATAAAATATTCACGATGATATACCCACATTGCATACCTATAGAATATGAGTAAAACAATATATTCTATTAGATATTATAATATTAGCTTTTCATACTACCTATTTCGGATGCCAAAATAATAATTGATTGAAAACTATGATTTTTACTAACAAAACACATTGTTAAATATAAGTAGCTTATAGTTTTTACCGAGTTTATAAATTTTAACATTTATCTAAGGCTTATCCAATAGCTAGGTGTATTTGCATTAATAAATAATAACCTGCAGGGTCGGTCTAGCGGTCTAAAGGCCTACTGTGCATTTTAGGCCCTCAAACTATAACTTGTCACTTTTATACCATAGTGCCACATCACTTCAGTTCTGGATCCAGAGGGGTTTTTTTTTAGAGGGTTCTATTGTTATTTGTTAACCAGTTAACTTGAGCTGAATTCGGCCTTCCACTATTATAACAAAACACTAATAAGCTGTCGCATGTAGCACGTATGTATAAATATAGTAGTAATAGCACAGAATTTATTCTGTGGAAATAGTAGGTATAGGTACCAATAGATGTGGCTACTTATACAATATACAAAATAATTTGTTCATGTAGGTATTTACTATTATGAGTGATGACTGATGTCTGATAAGTGATAAAAATATTATTTACTAAATACGAAAAATACATACATTCATACATACATGTATAATACGTTGGAGACCTATATTATACCGCGCTGGGATTATGAACCATGTTATTATTGTGTAATCTATCAATAATATATATTTTATGTGGTGCATTAACCGGGATGGTGCGTTTTCTTCACACTGGTTAGTATTGTTTGAAACTAATAAAATAATTTATAGGTATTGAAAATATTAAAGGCATTTTGACATTAATTATTGACGGGTTTTTATTTATGCAATAATATTGATCGTGTATGAGAGATCGAATTTCTAGATTTCGATAGCAAATTGCCTAATTATTCCGCCAAAAAAATGCATAAATAATAGTAAAGACGCTTATCTGTGAATTTGTCGCGAGCCCTCACCCAGCCATCGTTGATGTCAACGACGACGAAGACCGTGTCCTACGTAAAAACAGTTTGTATTTCGTCGCATCGGACGCATCATATTATAATTTTCGACGGAACAGCCTGTCGATCGGAATAGAAATCGTAGGACTCGTCGGATTTACATAGGACACGATGTAATACCGCTGCACGTCGACACCTCGACTCTTTCTTAGTCGGCACGCACCAAACACTGACTACAATTTATTATTTGCACACTATTACATTGATATTACCTATACGTTATTTTATAATTTGTACAAAGGTTACTCGTTGCACTCGTCAATAATAAATTTAAAAAAAAATATTAAAAATTTCCCATTCATATTTTTCTCACACATTTTCCATTTTCGATCATAATAATTATTGATGTATCAAATATTCTTTAATTCCTACCCTACCTCCCTGGGCGGTTTTCAAGATATTATGAGAGGTATGTTGATCCCATGATACGGTATTTTGCTGTACCCTTACCATTATATCCGTCACCGAGTCCAGGTGTCAGTCAATGTCAATGAACATACAAAATTAAAGATGGTCATAAAATGCATAAAAAAGCTTTCAACCATTAAGGGGCCTGGTCGCGACCTGTTTTTTTGCTCAAAAACATGCCTTACAGGAAAAACTCTCAAGCCTTGTAGATTGGTCCGATTTCCGTAATTTTTTTTTTTTTGTTAAATAGAGAAAGACGTATTGCAGCCTGCAGGGCGCATTGGACTTGGATTTTCAAAATTATTTTTCGAAATCTTATATTACAAGTGTTGACGCCACAATCAGCGTACATGCCGAGCCACCACCAAACGGCAGATAAGCTTATCTGTCGGTTGACCGTCCACGGTGACATGGACACAGCGGAGGGAAATTAGTACCGGTGTGGTTGCCCTGACGAGTGCGTCGCGATCGGCTGCTCGTGCAACCATCAATTACGCAAATATTACGCGCATATTACAATGCTCTACACGCTAGTACGCACGTCTTAAAAAACGCGTGAAATATCGTCGTCAGTCCGAGTGTCCGGAATTCATTCGTTTTTTCTGCATTATCGCCCGTCCCTCGTCGCAGTGCGAATGCATTAAGTGCTTTTACGGCTCATCATTATCGCCCGTCCGCGAAAGCGCAGCGCGAGCCAGCCGTTCGATTGTGTAATCTTAGCACACACACACATACACGAAATCACACCGTCGTCATATAGACCAGCTGTTCCGCCGCGGTGCCATAATATCACCATCATCAGGTCGTACCGTGATAGTATTGTTATTATTTACATATTATTGATATCATTGTTACAACGTTTATGTTGCATATTATGTATTGAATTATTATTATTATTACTGATGATCTATTTTATGTATGCTGTATTTATTACGGTGGATCGTTTTGTGATCACCTGAATTAAGGGTACTAACATAGGTTAAGGCATCATTTATATATTATTATTTTCATCGAATATTATTTACGTACTGCTATATTTTTTATCTTCTTTTTTTTTCTTTAATTATCTCCTTGATATTCCTAGTGTTGGTAATTTCCCACACAATAATTTGTTGGGCGTACCAGCCGAAACAACAAGTTTGAATTTAATCCATTTTTACAACTTTTTAGTTTTTGTATTATTATTTATTTTTAGCAACGTAATCAAAAATCAAAGTCCAATGCGCCCTGTAAAAAATATTCTTCTATCTAACAAAAAAAAAAATTACGGAAATCGGACCAATCTACGAGGTGTGAGAGTTTTTCCTGTAAACTGTGTTTTGACCGATATAATACACCCTATCAACCCCCCCTAAATAGGTATTGGGTAGTAGATTAGTGGAAAAGTCTTATAATTGAAGTGGCAACTAAAATATAAAATTGAATTTTCAAATTTTATAGAATTGCGGAAAATTTGAAAAATCGCGACCAGGCATTAAGTAGGTATATGATTTGTTCATCATTTTGTGCAATAATATAATTATTAATTAAGCAATAGTTTAGTGGTAGTACAATATTGTGATAAACGGTCATTAGGAATATAAAAGGTGAATGGTGATACACCTACACACGCAGTATAAAAAAATGCAGCCGAGCTCAATTACTCGTATTTCATGGGAAATAAAAATAAATTTGATTTATGAATTTATCCAGTACCTACTATACGTCAAACAAAACATAAAGGTCTTTCGAGGTAAATAGAGGCAATCGAGTTTTTTGAGCTATGGACACTCAACTGTACCACGTTATGTTTTACTTGTATTTATATTTTATAAACTGAGAACATTTTTGAGTATGTTATTAATTTTACCACAGACTATATTGACTTGGTAAGTTTATGAAAATGCAATCAACAGTTAAATATGTACAGACATATTATTTGGTATATTCAATATGAACTATGAAGTATTTCTAAAATACATTAATAACCTTTCCTCATATATTTTGAAATATTTCAAATACTCATTAATTTATTTTGAAATTATTTGAACACTCTTACTTGTTTATGCTTATAGAAGTACACTGATTAATTCCAAGGGCCACGCAGAAGCGACCTGTTTACATTTTTATTAATTCATATTATAAATAATTGCAGGTTCACATTGGACGAGAACTACCATTGTTTCAAAAAATTCGGTATTTTTCTAATATTTTAAAACAGGTAATATAAAAGTACAGCTAGTTAGTGATATAATGGATGGATATTTTTGAAAATATCTTTTAAACAATGCAATTAAGTTAAAATAAACAGTTCGGGCGATACAGGATTTTATACGTCACGCGTTGCACACCGTTGTGTTGCCGAGTTGTGCGTTTTTCAGGCGTTCTTATACATTTTTAATTTTTTTTATGGTTTAGAGCACAGTTTTCTTCAATCACACTTCGATGTAGTTACCAAGTAGTTATTATAATTTTATAAACTGGAGACGTATTTTTCCCGAAAAGGTCGATTCTAATGAATATATTCGTTGTATACAATTATACAAATAATGCTTTCAGATAATTACATAAAATATACTAATGTATTTGACAAATATTATTTTTTAATATTGAAACAAGGTTTCTAGGAATTCATCGTGTTTTATATTAAGTAATCATGGTTTTTGGTACACTTTTTAGGTTATAGAAAATATTATTGCATACCACATTAATTGTATTTTTCGTTTTCTTAGTAATTCAGTAAACGTTTGAAAAACTAGGTAGGTACTGAAATGTGGAATTTTAAATGCTATAAATGATTGTTTTATAAGAACTTTTAAGACTTTACGTTTTAACAGAGAGTTGATTATATAACAATCGTTTTTCAAATAATCAAATATGATGGTTTATCATTGCTTTTAAATTTGTAATAAAAACCAATCAGCGCTAAGTGGGCTGTGTGTATAGTCGAATCCAATACCACGCAATATCGGGGCTCAGTTTGTCTTTGTAATTTATTAATACCTACCACATAACTCGACAAACAATATTGGTCAAACATCTATTAAACAAATGCTTCAAGTTTTACTATTTTTTTTACAAAACTACCTAGGCATCTAAATTAATTATATGTTATTAATATATTTAGTATATAAATATTTTGGTTTTTAGTAATACCATACACTATAATATAATATTCTTACCTAGTTCCAACTTATATGCTCTTTGGTCTTTCAATGGCATTCTGTATCGAAGATCATTGTCAACCATATTTCTATCGGGAGCATGAAATTGAAATCTAAGTTGTGGGTCTTCGATACGGAAGTTTTTGATTTTTCCGGACGACGTCTTTTGAGGTGCACCGCCTCCTGGTCTTCCCATTTTCGTCACTTCATTACTAATTTCCTGAAATCGTCCTTTATTAATTAATATTAGAAACATTAGAAACATAGGGACATAAGAGACGGAGGCCCTCTTTAACATAGAAAATATTAATTATTAAATAGTGATTCTAGGAGTTAATAATAGTCTAATATTTATTGGGAATGTAAGGAGACGACGTACAAAATATCACTATACCAGATATCTTCATCAATATATACAGACTACAGAGTTGCGAAGATGGTAGTGGGCTGCCTTAAATAATATTCTTAGAATAGCTGTATTACTAAGTACTAAGTCTATGGTAATTTGTTTTTATAATTAACCTCCCGTTTAAAAAACCAATGACGTATAGGTACCTATAAATAGTTAGATAATATACAAGAAAATAAACGACACCTCTTTACTTTTTTTTTCGTGTTTCAAATCAAAATATTTTCAACATTAATAATATAATTTAAATAATTTGTTTGATGTACCTAATGATAAAGGTCCTGTGGCTCCCAACTTGGACATACTTAGGAGGCCCCGGCCTAAATACGCCACTAATTAGGAGTCAAGGTGTATTAGTAAATTATAAATTTAATATTTATTGTACTGAATATTTATGTTTATTCTATGAAAGAAGTACCTATATAACTATATTATTATAATAAAACTATATACCTATAAGTGCATTTAGTTTTCATATTTCTACACTTATAGTATTTATATTCTAATAATAGAACCAATAATGTTTTCACCCAATTACAATTATAGTGTATCTTATATTGGTATCTAACATTATTTTATAATATGCAATTTGGTTCATATAATATATTGCCTATAGAAAGAAAGTACCTACCTATAATATTATAATATTTTCTACATTGTGTTATATGTGGAACATACACTGATACACCATAAATAATAATGTTAGGCTATTAAATAATACATTCTATACAATACTATTCAAATAATATTTTATTGGTAGTATGCACTTTAATGGCATGTGATTTGTTATACCATTAATTGAGTATCTACCTATAAATGATTTATGATTGAAGCATTTTATTTATATTATTTATATTTATATTGAGATAATTTTCTACAGACAAGAGCCAAGAGGTCTAGTTAAATTTAATGAAGATTTACTATATATACTTATTTTAAAATACTTCTCTCTTCCTCACAACTATAATGTATGTATAATAATATTAATATGTATATAAATTATTTTAGTACCTAGTTTACAAATCAAATGTAGAACAAAGTATAAACTTTAAAGATTCCATCAAGGCATACAGCATGTTTGGTTATTATGTTTTTACTATTAACTTTATAAAATACACAGAACCACAGTGTTATACTATATCATTATAATTTAATATATATCTAGGTAGGTATATAATACTACACTGATAAAGTACATTTTTTCGTGGACTTACAATTCACACGTATATCATATGTCTTTGGCATATAAAAATATAAAATTAAAATATACTTATTGATATTTTCTATCTTATATTATAATCTATAGGTATGTAAAAAAAAAATGTTTTCGAAAACTTTTTTCTTTTTTTTTTTAAATAGGTATTAATAGTGAGTTTTTTGTAAAAACTTTTTACAATAAATAAAACAAATAATTATTTAACGTGGGAACTTTGAAAATTGAATTAGTCTTTTCGTAATAAATTCTTTATTAATTTCTAGTTAAAAAATAAATATATAAATATAAATAAATAAATAAATAAATAAATTAAATATATAAATTAAAAAATGCATATGCAATAAACGTGTTTATTATACTACAGCTAGGTGCCACCGTTTTAGCATAATATAGAATAATATTAAATTAAATCTCACGACCTACAAAAAACATTTTTTTATGATGTATGATATTATATGCCAACAGACCATACAAAACGATTACCGACACGATTTCTTAATTCACGACTTTTATACTTCATTTATTATATAAGATTATAAAGGTACAACTAATCACTGTACCTTCCAAGGAGGAGACGGAGGATCTGCAAATATTTTCCTTTTTCGAAGACCATCGTCGTTGGGAGCCCCGTGTCCAGGTTTTCCCCAAGGATAATAATCGTCAACAACCGATGAGAGAATCTGGAAAAGTTAAATGCATTACAACAGTATTATATTTTTTTTTCACTCGTGAAACTCTACCTAAATAATACATTGTAATATATTATAATTTAATGAACTCACTTCTTTCTGCTCATCACACGTGCGTGTCACAGGTTCCTTTTTTCCAGCAGAACAACGATGACACTCATTATCAGGCATTGTATTGTCACTAGACATATTACGCATATATAATTATGAAGACGAAACGTTTAAGACGGACACAATCACAATTCACAACGGTACCTAGAATACCACTAAAACACATCGGCACGTTCCTTCGGATATACCCACCGAGGATTTATACGGTTTTGAGCTTTTTAGGGTGCAGTCAATTGAATTCAATAAAAAAAATTGTTTTGACATTTTTTATTACACAAATAATAGTTAATATCAACGAGTCTATTGGATCTTATTGAATAGGTGCAGGGTAAAGTAATTACTGCTTAACCTCGAAAACTGAGTTTATGGTTCAGCGGTTACGGAAACGAATTTTCGCACAAGGATATAATAATAGGCTGTTAAGTGTAACATAAGAAGGTACACGATGTGTTTACTTTTTTTAGTTACCGCGTAATAGATCATATTATTATTGTGTTAATTTTTCGAAAATATTTCTTCGTTTTTCAAAAAAATTATTAATTCAATTTTAGTTTTTTTTAAGTAGTTATGTTATAGGTATCTAATAAAATATTTTAACTTTAACATTTTATATTTAAGTATACTATTGCCATTATAGGTATACCTAATTATCAAATTTTAAATAATTCGAAAATAATATATAAGTATATATTAATGTTATTGTGCAAAAGTTAATATTGTATGAATTAAATGATTAATTAGGTACTGTCGTACTGACACAATACCCATTTAATTTAAAATATTGACTTCATGTTAAATTTGTAATTTTATAATAGTTTAGTAGTCAATGCTGACTTCTGTTTTCCAAACAACATAGGTAAGCAATAAGCATACAACAACATAAGGTACCATTATATTTGATAGTTTAATAGAAAAAAACTATTTTCTGATTTCAATACATAATAATATATTTAAATTTTAAATATACAAATAAGTAAAATAATTAATAATTATTACCTAATTATCAATGATAAATAGGATTTGGACGCAAAAATTCCATAAATAGTTTTTTTTTTTTCAGATGCCCTAGATTAAAATAGTGTACCTAAATTGTATCCGACAGTAACTAGTAATCAAACCAAATCGAAAAATTGGGATACAAATATAATATTATGTCTTATTACTTATTAGATTATATTTATTATTATTTCCTTGCATTTATTTACCTGTACGCACTGCTGTGTGTTGGCATGCACGCCCTTGTCAAGAACTACAACTGACGATCGAGTGGGTTACGCGGAGTATTGCAATTGAACTTTTAACGACGAATTGTGCTCCGCCTGGCACCGAATTCTATAACCAAAAACCATCGGCGCTATTTATTATATATATAATAAACGGAAAACAGGTCGAAGTGACACGATCCATTTATGTCGGTACTGCCGTACTTTCCGCCAAATTCGTGACATCCTCGGGGTTTTTTTTTCATTACTGTTTGTTATTGTTATTATTATTATATTTTTTGCGAAATGAGATCCGAATGAGTGGTACACATGAACTTATTTTATACTACGAAAATAAATTGCGAAACGCTAAGGAGCTAGAAACAATGGGAGCCACGAACGCAATAACATCGCTTTGAATTAATATAACTTTTATCGTATTACATTTGTTCATTTTATTATTTTAATCTAAACATGACATTTTTATTTGATTTATAGGCAATAGGCATAATGTAATTCAAAATATTACATAGTCATGCCGTTATGGTTAGCATATTATATACACTTCTTCGATTATCAATCGTATATAGTATATACTATATACAATATTATAGTAATATTGGTAATGCGTGAAATGTATGTTTTTGGGGCAGTTTTGGCCCATATATTATATTTATAATTTGTAACATTATTTTTATAAAGTTCGAAAACCTATTTATACCGGTTCGGGGTCACGAATATTGAGAGGATAGCGTTTAACGATTGGATACATGCAATAAGTTTGATTACACCAGCTGAATAATTTTAATTTCTACGTTTTTACACATTTTTTTAAAACAATTAAGTATCTGTAGATATAATGAGGTAATTTACAAATCTGAAAATATGGACATAATTTCAGCGTACCACAATTACTTCCCTACTTATTTATTATTTTATCTACGTTATAATAATACTGTGTCTATTATGAGTTAGTTATTATAAAAATATTTACCCCAACTAAAAGAGTAAAAATATGATTTGTTTGTTACTATTTATAGTTTATTAGAAAGTTTTATGTTTTTTCTCAATTGGATAAACTATATGGACCATTAAATAATTTTCATTTAATTTATTGTTATTTGTTACATTTTTTTTACTTAATATATTAAACAAAAAAACTATAAATAATTATTTTATTATCAATTAAAGGTATACAATATTGAATAATAATAATAATAATAATACAGTACGTTCTTAGATACAATTTTAACATAAATATTTAGAGTTAAATCTTTTTATAAACCTTGGTAGATTATAATCTACCGTGATATAATCAATACGTCAATACCTATATTGAATATTGATTATAATTTATAAATACAATATTTAATGCCATTGTTTTTAAAATTGAAATATTTTCAATAATAACGATTATTTTATATCTATTTAAAACACCAGCAGTACAGCCACATACGGTTGCATGACCTGTGGGCTGGGAGGCCGAAATTTTGTTTAGAGAATTTCCTTATGAATAAAATCCAAAACACTTTTTAAAGAGAAAAAATTTAAAAAAAATTAGGTACAGTTTATATTTTCAGCTTAATCGTGTGACGATAAAATAATAAAATTAGGTATAGCCTTTTCATTAAACATGTCTTTATAAAAATAAAAAAAGACAAAAAACTAATTATTTTCTAGGGTAATAAGAAGCAGTGATAATAAAAATGGTTATTATTAAGGCAATATCTAGTATGATCATTTATATTTTAGGGAAACACATTTTATCAGCCGCCTAAGTCTGCTTACACTTATGAGTGAAATCCTTTGTTTTTATAAAAATGTATTATTATTCTTATTAAAATATATCAATAGAAAACGATATACCACACTGCATAAATTCATGAACGTTTGTAAGACACACATATTTTTATTACTCTATAAAACAGTTTTGTGTTGATTGTATTCGTTTATATTATGTTAATTAAACTATTTTACTTCATGTCAGGTAATATGATTTTATTTGAAAATAAATGCAACAGTAAAATTAAAGTAAAACAAAACAAATGAAAACTTAAAAGAAATTTACAGACAATCGCCAATGGGTAAACAGTAGGTATACCTTTTAAGTAGCATGTCTTAGACTAGTAAATGAGAATAACTTTTAAGTATGAATTAATAATGGTCTCTTAAATATTAATTTCTCATATTTTTACCATCTTTATATGTTAAAAATAAAAAACGTAATAAAAATTTCATTTTAGTACTTTTTTAATGTGTTTAAACATTTCATTACAATTTTGCACTAATAAAAACACAATGAGAAATAATCGCATTTTACCTATAGAAATTGAATATTTTATTTGTATATATGTACAAATATGTGATAAGTATGTTTAATAAAGTTAGGTTTTAATAAAATATTTTATATAAGAGCAATATGTTTTTCTAACGTTAATCAATTTTTATTTTATAATTTATACACAGTAGCTAGTAGCTACTATGACGTATACGTAGGTATACCGCGCACTATAGTTTAGTAGGAGGTAGTCATGATGTCTGGCAATTACATGCTATTTTGTTGGTCAATATTTTGCCGACCTTCTACTGTCAATTGTCATGTGCTTTTAGCGTAAGAATAAAATAATCAATTTTCTTAATGTATGAAATCCTTGAAACAATTTCAATACAATTTTACATTAAATGTTTTTGCAGTCAAAATATTGTCAGAATATTGAATTAAATCAAATATGTATCAATTGAATTATTTATATAAGTATGTGGAGCACTAATAATTAAATTTAACTTATTTATAATTACAATAATTTTTATAATGCTTAATTCAACCTTTGATATTTGTACAGTTTAATTAAAATGCCATTCTAGTTTTATTTGCAATTTAGTATAGAAACAGATAATATAAAATAATCTATAGATAGGTAATAAGTATAGTTATATAAAAGTCTATTGACACTTCGACCGAACGATGACAGGACGCACCCGCGGTTTGGAATTTTATCCGTCAGCGTCGCCAATGCCCATATGGACATAAATATAAAGCATAAAGCATACTATGCTTTCACACATAACTGAACGGATTTCGTAACTACTGTATTAGGTTTTATATTTTATAATTTAATCAAACATAATATATTATATTTTATAATTTAATCAAACATAATATATTATATTTTATAATTTAATCAAACATAATATATTATATATTATATTTATATATCCCAGGGCTTATACAGGCGGGGTTAGGGGAAGGTGCCCCCTGGATTGTTTTCTAGGACAATTACCATAATCATTATGTAATATGAAATACATTTAATAATCTATAAGACTATAATGACTATATATTATACTATAATAGTTGTTAAACAAATATAAATACATAAAAGCGGGTAAGTGGATGTAGCTCTGCTGTACAGTAGGTTACAAATGGGTCATTGTATAATGGATTGTATTAAAATTGAATTCAATGATATAATATCAATATTATCATTGTGTAAGAAAAACGATTCTGAGCAGAGACGGTTTGTTAGTCTAGATATTTTATATTGTTATTATTTATTATACCATGTAATATGAAATAATATTATAATATTATTATTTTTTATTTGTTATTATGGTAATAAACAAAGCGTTAGAAATTAAAATCCAATTTTTAGCGGTTTTTTCGTAATTTTTCGGTGGTTTTTACAGTGACATTTAATATATTTATAGTTATAACTATTGATAAAATCGAAAAATGACCTCTCTAAAGTACCATCTTGATCCAATTTGATAAAAGATAAGGTACTATAATATGTTGAAATCGAAGCACTCCTTCTGGTAGAAATTTTGTATACAGGATATAAAAAGAAGAAAAAAAATAAAAATAAACACCATTGTAAAACCACT